ATGAAACTTATATAACTTCTGCTACCATTTAGACAATGTTTTATAGAATGGACTAATAAGGACAAATTTATAGGCCTAAACCAAATTAACAATTATTGAAGAAGAGATAAACGACCAATCCAAATCATAAAACTATATGGTGGTTAGAGCTTACTCTTAGATGACATGATGGAAGCTAGATAAGTAATTGAGAAAAATATTGTGAGATATTGAATTTCTAAAAGATTATCTTCCATTTTAATGATATATAAAGGACTACACAGTTTACTATTATTGTTTATCTAAAATATGTAATCATATGCTCTCAGCAGCTAGAGTAATAATCTTAAATTACATAAACACAAATAATAGATGCTGGTTAATTTACAGTCATAATGACACTCACGATGTAAACTAATATCAGAATTTATTATGTTAAATAAATTGATAAAATAAAAAAAAACCTCTGGAAGAAATAATTAATCAAATATATTGAAGCCTTGAATTATTTACACGGGATGCCATTAGAAATGAAACATTTTATACCTATAAAATAAGGACCAGAATGATATGATAAAACAATTAAGATTCTATATAATATTGTCGCACCACCTCTATTTGGTACATTGTATCTTAAAATAATAGTAGTTTGTAATAATATCAAAAATATACTTGTATTAAAAATTTAACTCAAAACTGTTTTTCGAAAAAGAAAAAATAGCTTTCCTAAAAACATCTAAAAAAGTGAAGAAAAGATATCTAATTTATTACATCCATTAGATAGCCCGTCAAAAATGACGAGAATGAGAATTTTATTCGTTTTTTTAAGAAAGATGTTACCTTTTATTTAAAAATCATATCCAATTTATATAATTTTTAAACCCCCCCCTCCCCATTTAGGTCATGTCCAAGCAATGTCATTGAGTCCAACCCATTAGGACTAAGAGTTGAAACTATTATTTGAGTCAAAATATATTTAAATGAGCTTGTACCCAATACCAAAATTCTTTGTAAATATATTACTGGTTACATAAGACTAACATTTAACATTAAAAAATTTCAAGCCAGGTCCAAGCTCATAATATTTGGAAAAAATTTCCACGCGTTCAAGACCTTATAATTTATAAAAAAAATTTCTCAAGCCTAGTAGATAAAATAATTAGTATAATTAACTTAATTTAATATTCTTATTTGAGTATATATCTTTTCTTTTTTTAAAAAAATAATTTAGCTTAATTAACTTAATTTAATATTCTTATTTGAGTATATATCTTTTCTTTTTTTTAAAAATAATTTAGCTTAATTTAATAATCTTACTTCTTCAAAAGGAAACTTTGATTAAGTTTGTTTAAGAGTGCCCTTATTTAGAGAATTTTTTTAAATAACTGGCACTCCGATTTCAGGAATATAAAAAAAATGATAGTCTCTAAAAATAGATATGATCATAAAAAATGAACAAATAAATTACATCTTCTGATTTCAGGAATTCAAATAAAATGATAATCTCTAAAAATTGGTATCTGGCACTCCGATTTCAGTCAAGGAAAATGATAGTCTCTAAAAATAGATATGATCATAAAAAATCAACAAATAAATTACTTCTTCTGATTTCAGGAATTAAAATTTGGTATAGCCTAGTAGATAAAATAATTAGTATAATTAACTTAATTTAATATTCTTATTTGAGTATATATCTTTTCTTTTTTTATAAAAGGATTTAGCTTAATTTAATAATCTTACTTCTTCAAAAGGAAACTTGGATTAAGTCTGTTTAAGAGTGCCCTTATTTAGAGAATTTTTTTAAATAACTGGCACTCCGATTTCAGGAATTCAAGGAAAATGATAGTCTCTGTATCTGGCACTCCGATTTCAGTCAAGGAAAATGATAGTCTCTAAAAATAGATATGATCATAAAAAATCAACAAATAAATTACTTCTTCTGATTTCAGGAATTCAAATTTGGTATGAACATCTGTTTATAAAAAAATCAACAAATAAAAAAAAATAAATAAATACGTACCGATGACATGACGTAACGATGACATGACGTAGCGATGACATGACGTCACGATGACGTAGTGAGGACATCGGAAAATTATAATATAGATAATGTTTAATTTAAAATATATTTTAACTAAATAGATGGCTTTAAATACTTGAATGCAAATTGTTACAATATTTATTATCAAAAGCATTTATTAGTAAAATTTTTTATAATTTAACTGTAATATATTATATAACTATCAACCACTTCAGTCGCATAATATCTAATATTTTATAACCAACTGTATATAATAGAGGATTATACACAATATATCTATTAACATATTATAAACAAATCTCTTATACTTATTTGGATCTTGAAAATATTTTTAGGAATAGGTTTGATAATTATATTTAAAAATAAATATACAGTTGATTAGTCATTTTGAACTCGGCTAATTACAATATTAAATCTGTTAGTTTTCAATTAATAATTGATTATATTTATTTAATTAGGGTTATATAATAATTTAAAAAATAATAGTCAATTAAGCTTGCTAAATTAATATTTAGTGAGTGATATTGATATTCTATTTTTAACGAATTTGATTGCAAGCTGACATAATGAAAATATAATTTATGTGTATTAATCTAATCTAATATTTGAAACTATATTCATTTAATAAAAATTTAGGTCTTATTAATTTTTAAATAATAAAATTAAATCTATATATTACTTAATATAATTATAAAAGATATCGTTCAGGGGTCAATCAAAAAAAATTAATATTAGTTCAAGTGGTTAAGATTCCATTTTAAAAAATTTTTTTTGCTTCAGGGGGTTATTCAAATTTTTTAGGGAGCTCGAGCCCCTGCGCGCTCCCCCTCTAGCGACACCGCTGGCTAAAGACGTGGACCCACAGATATTAATAAAATTTTAGAGGGAGACCCATCTAATTCCCCCTTCCCCAATATAAAATCCATGATACTTTCATGTTTAATAATGTAGATATTACCATTTTATAATAAATAATATTTAGGAGTAAGTTTTAAGTAAAACATTCAAAATATAAATTAATTTTTAATTTTTTTAATCATTTATACGGAGTATTAAAATAAACCAATTGTCTAATTTTAAGTCAATATTTTTTTATGATCTCCAAACCTTGACCCTGGACCCGAACCCTTTTTTTAAAAATTTTATTCCTGAACCCAGACCCTGACCCTTTTTTTTTCTGGTTCACATCCCTGAGAAAAAGAAAAAGTGTCCATGTTTTTTTATTTCAATAGTGTACTACTTTCTTCTAATAAGGGATTGGTTACAGAAAATAACCTTTCACTAGAAGCCAAAATTTTACTATCTAATTTTTTCAAAGGAGTAAATGAATATTCCTGCTTCAAAGCTTAAAAATATTTTCATTGATATTTGTTTCATGAGCGATGAATCTTTTAAGTTATTCCACACAACTTTCATCTAGATGTTGTTACTTCATCAGAATCATCTAAAAATTCTCTAAATGTATCATTTAGAATATATAGTTAATTGTGTGCTGAAAGAATTAGAAAAGTTGTAAATGATAGTTGGCATTGACTTATCCATATTATCTAATTTTATATTATTTCGCATTTTAGATTGTTTTATATATATCTTCCTTTTCTTTGTCCATTAAAAACGTAATACTTTTGAAATTCGGATCATGAATTAAGCATACCTTATGTAGTGGCTGCATATTAAATTTTTCTTTTAAAGAAATAGGGCGAAATATTTTACTAATTTTGGTTTCCATTGATAAACTTCATTTATTGTGGGAGGAGAATAGAGCCCAGATTATCCAAGCATTCTTTGAGTATGGATAAAAATTTTAGTAAAGATTTGTGAAAATAAAACAAGTTTAAAATAAATTTGTTCATTACCAAATTTCTATTGCTAAACAAGAGTTGAGTGATCTAATATTTTTCATTCAAATTTATAAGACGAATAAAATTCCGATGATATTTTGTTTTCAAAAATTATTCTTTTTTTAAAAGAACTAAAAAATTGCAAATTTATATTCATCCAATTACGCCCGGCAAAATTTTGGAAAGGCCCGTCACAGCTAATAATTTAAAATTTATTTACACTGATGCCGTGATCCATCATATCACGTGTAATTTTAATGGCCACATCACATTATAAAAATAAATAATATTTTTATTACACATGGTGGCCTGGTTGGAATGAAGTACTATTTTAGTAATTATTAATATTTATTGGACATAAAGTTCCATTATCACAATAACTCGTCACGGAAAATAAATGGGAATATAAAAATATAAAAAATATATTGTTAAAATTAAAAAAAAATTAATCTTAACTCAAGGTTATATAATAAATATCTATCCAATATGTATACGCGAAAAAAGAAATGATTTTTTTTTTGAGAAAATAATAAAATTAGAAATAATATTTGTTTTTCTATTTATAAAATAAGAAAGAGAAGTAAAATATAAATATATTATAAGATAAATAAAATAAAAATTAAAACCGATTCAGAATAGTAAGATTAAAATATAAGAAAAAGAATTAAATGTTGCTTTGAAATATTTTATGAAAATTGTTATCTAATAATTTTACACATAATATCCAATGGCAACAAATGTATATGTATTTTGTCATATTTTTGATAACCTCCAGTGTGTGATGATCGCGATTCATTTGGCTCTTCCAATGTATGAAACTCAGCTACGATAACTCTATTAGGAGTCCATTACCTCTTAGTCTCTTGCCATTATATTTATGGCAATTATCTACCGTGATTACAGAATAGGCATTTATTCCTGGTCATCCCTCATCTAGTTTTATCTCATTTTGCATATGATTAAATTTAAAAAAATAAATAAGCCAGAGCTATGTAAATTAACCATGACTATAGTCATAGTCATTAATTTTTATTAAGACTAATAGTGAGAGTATTTTTTTATAAGCTACAGTTTAGCCGAAAGTGTATAACAAATCTCTCACATTTAAACAACCTGTCATGTTTACTGTCAAAGCATTGTGTCATCTCATTATATTCTTATTAATTTTGCAAAACATTTTATTCGAACAGCATGGTTGTGCAAAATGCAAATTTAACCAAATGCAACGAAACAACGATCAATACTAAGGATAAACACTTTTCCTTAAAAAGTATCGTAACTAGAAATAAATTATTATTAATTGTTTTAAATATTTAAGTTATTCCTTTGATATATAATTGGCAACAACGGCATGGAATAAGACATGGAGATTATCAAAATTACAGGTATATATATATCTTATTTACTAAGATTATAAATAGTAAATGCTTTTTAAAATATAATGTATTAAAAGACATTTCTGCTCCAGAAAGATTCAGAGAATACGGAAAACTCTTCATTATCCTGTGATCTCTAAGAACAAGGTTATCAGTCGTTATGTTGATACTAATTCTCTTAAGGATATTAGGTTATAAAAATTAGATGTTTATATGCCAGTTTAGAAGCCTTATAACTTCACCTTGTAGATATATTATTTTTTTTGTATACTAGGCATTTATGGCTTCTTTTATTAAAATGTGAAAGATGTTGGGCGTATGCTACAGAATTAAAACAGGAATCCAACACAGAGCCAAGAAAAAAATATAGGACCAAAAATCGTCTTAAAAAGTTATGCTTATATGCCCTCCAGCTAAAAGATTTAATTGCTGATAATTCTCATATTCTTTCCTCCTCAAAATCACAAACAGATAATGATGCCAAGAGAATTTGTGACACTAGATCTATTATAGAAAGCCAAGTTATATACTATAGATTAAAACTTTAAGAATCAGGGATATGGAAAAGAATATTCTAGGAATATAATTTTGAGTAAAATAATACATTCTATGTGAGTGGATTGGCCCTTAACATTTCTGGAACAGTTTGCAATCTAAAAAATATTAATAAATAGAGATACACTGATAATGTTTCTTAGCTGATAATGTTACTAAAACTGATACACTGTTGTTTACATGTAAAATGAGCAAAAAATGAGATTTTTAGCCAAACCCCTTCAGTTTAAAAAAATTTAATATTCAAAGAAAGGTTGGCGTTTTACCAATATCTGCCTTCATTCAATTAAGCATATCTTAAAAACTACATATTTGTAAATAACAAATTTAATAAAAATTATGTACAAAAATTATTCAGTTACTGCCACTCTCAGAGGGGGGGGTATATTTTATTTATGTTATTTTTTAAAAATTAAAATAGTATTTCTACAAAATTTTTGGTAGATAAAACTTTGCATTTTAAATTTATTTTGGTGATAATACTATAATTAAAGGAAGATTCTATAAATAAATAAAAAATTATCAACTTTAGGAAAATTACTTATTTCTGGAAATAAATATTAATCTAAAAATTTATATTTAAATTTTTTTGGTGATAATACTATAATTAAAGGAATATCCCATAAAAAAAATATAAGCAACTTTAGGAATATGTTATACAACTTGTTAACTCATCATTGCCTTTTCCAAAAATATTGGATTGGGCCTTTACCTGGAAAAAACAGATCCGATCTTTTTACTTTTCTTTTTTTTTGTTATTTTATGTTATGTATATTTATTTTACATTATTATAATAAATTTTTTATCTATTATGATATAATTCTTAATAAATTAAATGATTTTTTAATTACATTTGATTCAAAGGGGGGTAGTAAAAAATCAGTATAAACATCGGTTTCGGATCGGTTTTGAACCAATATTGGAAAATATCGGACCGGATCGGTGAAAAATCTGCAGATCGGCATAGCCCTAAATAATATAATTATATTATAATAAAAAATTATTTAAAATTTGTAGACAAAATTCTCCTACTCCCCCCCCCCCCCCCATATATAAACGCTGAGAATAATCGGAATTAAGAATTTTTTAAAAAAATATATAATTAATTTAAAAAAATTTGCAAAATTTAATGAATAAAATTTCGTCATTTAATACTATATTTCGGGTTAAAAACATCACTTAAACTTCAAAGGGTCTATTTTACCCCTAATAAATACATAATTTTAGATAAATATTTATTTCCAGAAAAAAATGCTAATTTTCCTAAAGTTGCTCAAATTTTATTTATTTATGGAATCTTCCTTTAATTATAGTATTATCACAAAAAAATTAAATATAAAATTTTAGATTAATATTTATTTCCAGAAAAACGTAATTTCCCTAAAGTTGCTAAATTTTTTATTATTAATGGGATCTTCTTTTAATTATAGTATTATTACCAAAAAAAGTAATTTTCCTAAAGTTGTTAATTTTTATTTATTTATGGGATCTTCCTTTGATTATAGTATTATCACCAAAAAAAATTTAAAATGCAAAGTTTCATCTACCAAAAATTTTGTAGAAAATAACTATTTTAATTTTTAAAAAAATAACATAAAAATAAATAAATCCCCCAAGCAAACTATTATTCTTTTAGATAAATTTTTTTTTTGATTTTTCCAATTCCGGCCATTTATTTAACATGTAAGAACTAAAGACAAATTTTTGAAAATAATACGACCTTCATTTTTTATAAAAAATTTACCAAACTCTTTTTTTATATTTAACAAAAAATCGGTCTGGGACGTGGCCAGCTTCATTCTTAAAATCAATAAATATGATTAGAAAAGGGTATAAATATTTTCCCGAAAGAGGGTGTCTTTGTATAAAATTATATATTAATCAGATTTTAATGATTTTTCGATATAATTAAGGATTGTTCATCTTGTAAGTGAAAATAAAAATAAATGGGGATTTCAATCAATTTTAGTCATTTTTTGTCGATAAAAGAAATTCAATTTATTACATTAAATTTATTATAAAATTATCCATATAACATATATTTAATGAATATTAATAAAATATGTTCAACCAAATTAGAGTTCTTGAATATATGAATTCTTATGTATTTTATGAATCTCGGAAAAAACCCCCAGGAAAAAAAACCCCGAAATTTTTTTTCGAATTTACTTAAGATCTAATAATATCGGTATATTTTTATTTGGATTTATAAGACAAATTAGTATTTTAGAAAAAAATATTATAAAAATATAATTTAATAATAAATTATATACATAATAATGATTTATCAATAAAATAAACAGATCTCATTGCAAATTTTGTCAAATTTAGTCTATTTAATAAGGATGGATATTGTATTTACGAAAATAAGTAATACATGGGTTATTTTACTGGGATATTTTTTTTCCCAGTACCAATTTGAATATCAGCATTTTTTCTTGTTTAAGCACTGCGATTTTGTTTTCAGTGTCCCAACTACCTATACGCCATCGTTCAAGTTTGGTCCACCTCGCATTTCATTTTTTTTAATCAATACCCAGATTGATGGGTGTTTATTCCCAACCAGATTAGAAAAACGATGATTCGAACCTTCGCATTGATTATTTATGAGTTATTAGTTGGATCCTTCATACTCCATTGATGTAATTTTTATCGAAATATTCAAGAATATCCTTACCATTGCTCGGAGTAACCGATCTAAGTAATGCCATTGCATTGCCCATATCACATAAAGGAACAAATGCCAAGCTGTCCATCATGCCACAAAAGAAGCTTAGAGCTTCATGGATTCTGTATTGGCTTTCCAGAACTATCTTTTAAATTTTTCTATGGGTACTTTGACACAAATGGTAAAAGCATCCTCTGATTATGATGTGATCTTTTAATTGAAAAAATAAATGTAAATAATTTAACATATTAATAATCATACCAATGACAGTTTTAACCGCGCTCATAGCAGACTTTTCGAAATCCATGTATATATATATATAATGGATCAGGAAATATATTCCGCTCTTGACATTTAGACATTATTAATTGAGAAAAAATTTTAAGAAAAATTGACATTAAAATTTTTTAAAAAATAACCTTTTTTTTTAAATTTTTTTCCTCGGGGTTTTTTTTCCAGGGGTTTTTTCCGGGGGTCGTTTTTTCCTGAGGGTTTTTTTTCATGGGGGTTTTTTTCCGGTTGTTTTTTTCCGGTTGTTTTTTTCCTATTACCGTATTTTATATATGGCGCCAAAATTTTTTAAGACATTACAAATATTAATTTATTATTATTATGAAATTATATACAAAATAAATATATTATCACCATAAATTAACTCAAAGCAATAAAAATATTTGATTGGATTTCTAAAGCCGATTTTTTACTTAATATCGGCATAGCCCTAGTTGTAAATAAAAATAACAATAAATGAGCGTTTCAATCAATAAAATAAAAAAAAATTATAAAGTTGATTAATCATTCAATAACACATGCCCACTATATTAATTCATTTTTAAATTAATTTCTTGATTTAAAAAAAATATTAATGAATTCTAATTATTCTTAATAACGAAGGTACAAATATTTATTAGTACGAATGTACCAATATTTTTATTGGAAATTTGCCAGTATTCGCCCAAAATATTATATATTCGTCAGAGATAGTGGTATACATAATGTATGTGTTTAGTGTTTACAGCTACCACCAAAAATTTTAATTAATGACAATTAGATCAAATTTAACCAAAGATGATATGTTGCCCTTTAAAACATACAAACATTTTATTCTTAATAATTTGTAATCTGCCTCAATCATCCTGTTATTTGGGAAAATTTCATATTTTTCCACTATCAAAACATTTAGGTGAACAAATAGAAATATTGTTTCGTTCTAAGGACATCGAATTATACAAATTTGAGCCTTTAATTTCCGGTTTATCTATTTCGCTTTACCTTTGTTTTTAAGCAAAAAAAGGAATTTGTATTATTGTTTTCGAAATTTTATTTATGCTTTTTATTTAGACACTTTTATAAATATATATAGATATCAAATCCTTGGCGACACATTCCAAAATATTCATTTTTACCAAAAATTGAAAAAATAGATGGCGCTAATGGTTGAAAAATATTATTCTTGAGGAAAATAAAAATATTGATACGTTTATATGAAATGTGATAAAATTTTTCAGTTCTGCCCCCCCCCCCCACCATCCTTAAAAAAATCACTACTTTGCTACTATAACCAATGACTTATTACCTCGATAATGTATAACAGCTGCATGAAATGAATATTTTATTAGGCATATTATCAATTATATTTTACGAGTATATTATTTAACAAAATAAACTGTTTAAAGCATCTCTCTTTCTGCATAATATTTTTAACTTGCCCGTTTGATTAATTTTAAATAATTCAACCCGTCTGCAGCTTATTATTTTATCGTCTGTGTACCAATAAAATTCGGGATTTGGAGAGTGCAAAAACATATATTCTAGGTGCAAATCAATTAAGGTAAGCGGAAAATAATTTCTCGGAAAAAAATCCTCAATAATTATTCTTAGAAAATTTTTTTATTTCGTGGATATATTTATAGGGATTCTCCTATATTATTAATTTTGTAATTTTTAATATCTTAAAAAACGGGGATTTTTTTTCTGGGGAATTCATCAATTAAAGTTTTTTACTATATCACTACCAAATGTTAAAATATCAATATGTTGCAACTCATTTAATCTACAAAGACAGCTTATTATCGCAAGAATTTAAGAAAGATTCTTTCCTAGATGCCCCCAAAAATTTACCAATCAATTTAGATATGTTATTATGCTCTTCATGCCGACAAAATTAAGCAAACATTTCTTATAATTCAAATGACAATTCTACCCTCATATAATTAATCAAGAGGCTATTGATAACATTAATATATCCCTACAATCAATAGGGGAATCTCCCATTAAAAGAAAACGTTTATGTGAAAA